TCTCAAGCACCCTAGGATTTTCGAGTGGTACATGAGCATTGGCTTCAACTTAAAGCCAACAATTGCACTTGCCCCTGACAAGACAGTCAGCCTGTCCTTTGAAGCTTTGAAGCAAGGCTTTGACTTATTCTTTCTAGCTATGGCAGTACTAGATGGTATCTTCTTCCAATATAAGGCTGTTTTATGTACACTGAAAATCTTGTTTAGTGTCGCCACTTCATCAGTGATCTTAGCTAGATCTTCTGGGTAACTTGGTGCAGCTTCTACATCAGCACTTGCTGCTTCACCTTGCACTTGTATGTTTTGGAGATGTCATCTTTGTTTAAACCTCATGAACCAACCTTTGCTAACTTCAAACTTTTCTTCTGCAGCTTCCTCTCCTCTCGCAGCCATCATAGAGTTGAAGAGAGTTAGGGCCCTTCTTTGGATTAGGCTTTGGCATAAAGGGAGTATTGTGGCTGGTTTGATCTTCTATCCAGACCACTGAAACTTTCTCCACATGAGCAATAAGGCTGTTTTGCCTTCTTATCGTTCATGTGTTCACTGGAGTAGCACTTTTAATTTCCTTCAAGAGCTTTTCCTTTGCATTCACAACTTGGCTAACTGGCGCAAGAGGCCTAGCTTTTGCTTTTGGCCTATCTCGGTTTTTGACATGTCTTCCTCACTAAGCTTAATCATTTCTAGCTTTTGATCTAAAGTGAGAGACATGTGACTCTTTCACTTGAGCACTAAAAGGCCATTGTAGTGTTATTAATTGGCCTAATTTCAATATTGTTGTGTCTCGGAGAATAGGGATGCTCTTGGAGAGGGTGAGAGACAGGGGAACAGTAAGTGTGGAGCATTTAGAACATGTACAACATTTATTGATTAGGTCAGTTCATGAGTGCAGTTCACGGCACCCCAAAACAATTACAATAGTAACATCAGGGCCGGCCCGGTGGCACACTGGATAGTGCACCGCTTGGGAAGCGCGGCGGCGCTCCCGTCCGAGGGTTCGGATCCCACATGCAGACCGGTTCCCGCTCACTGGCTGAGCGAGGCACGGGAGCAACACCGAGGCTTGCAATCCCGTTGCCGGTCCCTGGTCCGGTACGGGGGCGACACTGAGGGTTGCGATCCGTTGCCGGACACGGAAAAAAGACAAAAAAAAAAAAAAATAGTAACATCAAAGATCACTGATCACAGACCACTGTAACAGATATAATAATGAGAAAGTTTGAAATATTGCAAGAACTACCAAAAAAATGACAGAGAGACATGAACTGAGTGCACACTGTTGGATATATGGTGTCGATACACTTGCTAGACACAGGGTTGCCACAAACCTTCTATTTGTAAAAAACATACAGTATTTGTGAAATGCAGTAAAGTGAAGTGCGATAAAATGAGGCGTGCCTCTCTAAGTATTATTCTCATCTTACAGATGAGGTAATGTAGGCTTGAAGAGGTTAAATGACTTGCCCAAGGTCACATGGCTATTAAATGACAGAGCCAAGGACTCAAACACAGATCTAACTTCAAATCCTAGTTCTTAATCTTGCTATACTTCCTCTCCGAGATGTAGAATTCTGGGCCAACCATTGCTGTTATCACACAAGTCCCTGAGGAAGTGGAATATATTTATAAAGTGCTAAAAGAAAAGAACGGTCATTATTAGAATCTTTTTTTCTGTTGTTCAAATTGGATAATTTATTGATCTGTCTTCAAGTTTACTGACTTTTTCCTCTCGTTATTATCTGTGTTTCTATATGTGATATGTCTTTTTTCCCTGGCTTCTTTTATGATTTTCTCTTTATTACTGGTTTCAGTGATTTGATTATAACGTACTGTGGTGGGTTTTTTAAATATATTTATTCTGGGCCGGCCCGGTGGCACACTGCGCTAGTGCGCCGCTTGGGAAGCGCGGAGGCGCTCCCGCCGAGGGTTCGGATCCCACATACAGACCGGTTCCCGCTCA